AATGAGGATCCTCACACACCCGGTAGGAAACTTACTGTCTGTTCTGGGTCACGTGTTGCAAGCAAGTTGCAACAGCTGTTTCTCAGCTAAGACTATGAAAACTTAGGATAACTTTTAACAAAGTGTCTAACTTGAGAAGCCAAAACTCAAAACCTGCTGGTTTTTAGCGTTCAAATCTCCCATGCACACTGTAATCTGTAAGAGCTACTGCATAAATTAGTTTTCCACATAATTCAAGTTCACAGGTTATCTAACAAAACAGTTTCACATTCACAGTCAAGTACTATGTAAACATAATTTAGTTGTTCCTAAATATATACACTCTTGACATCATACCAACTAGATATTTAGCAGTCCATACACAGAAATTCAATTTGGTTTAATTCTTTAAGCTCATAGTAAGCAATCAAGGTTTTTTTCCCTCAAAAGAAAAGCTCTACCATTTAAGCCTCTTTGTATCATGAAGATAAGCTGCAGAACACAACAGCATACTTCTTGAGACCAAATGTAAACAATAAAAGAGCAAGGCAATTTTCCTGTAACTGAAGCTTATCTATGTCAGCATTCCAAGTATTAAAGAAAACGTCCAATTAAAATGCTTTTCCAGCATGGTTGATTTTAGTGCTATACGAAAGGACAGAAATGTTGCCTGTACATCAGGTATTTTTAACCTGATTTTTAAGGTTCTGATGCACAACAACCAGAGGCAAGAAGTACGGCAGAAATGAGAGTACTGAAACAGTGCAGACAAAAACTAACAATTGTATTCACAGATCTGAACATTCCTGGTTTCTGACAAGGTTGCAGAGTTCAGAATGCAGATTCCTCTCCTTTTGGAACACGGTAACTGTTTCTACCCTATCTATACTCAGATATGAATGGACAGCAAGGAACCTTGAATCCTTGATAAAACCAGAGCAATCTTCATCTGTGCTCCAAATACAGTTCACAGAAGAGGCTACACTCTTCTGCTGGTGCCATACCTGCACAGGGCTGTTCAAAACACAAGGAAAAAAAAGACTTTCCACTCTAGGATTTCCTCTCTAGCAAACTGAGCAATAAAGCTAACGCATATTTGCAAAAGCAGAACAAAATATATCACATAGCAACATACTCCTGGTATACGCACAGCAGGTATATTTTATCTGAGGACTGCTCCTTCAAAAGGTCTGGCTTTTTACTCAGCTGTCAAAAAACCTCAAACAAGCCTACCTTTCATGCATCACATCCCCCATTACTCTCATAGACTTAGTTCAATTGAAAGCATTAGTAAACTTACATAAATGTTTTCTAACCATTTTACCATAATGGCTAGAAGTAATATTGAACTGGTTTTCAAAGCATATAAT